TTAAAGTATTACTGAATTCAATGATAATTTAAATCCCCCTCCAAAACTGTGCTCGTGGGCTTGACTTGTATCCTCCCTGTTTGTGATGATCCTCTAGGTGCTTACAGTAGAACTCAGAATAGGGAGGGAAAGTGTTTAAAATTTTGACTGTTTTTTTTTCTTTCCTCTGCTGTTGCTGCAATGATGTAAAATAATAATAATAATAATAATAAATGAAACATTAATATCACTGTTGCCTTATTTTCTATTAGGAAAATATGCAGAATTTAAGAATTTTGTGTTTAGGTGAAATAAGAATTTCAGAGGAGACAGGCAAATATTGCCTTAATTGAGCCTTGATGCAATTTCGTTTAACAATTTACATTTACATTTAGTCATTTTGCCGACGCTTTTATCCAAAGCGACTAACAATTGTGGAATACATAAAGTGATTCTTCTTAAAGAGGCAAACAGACCCAGGAAGTGCTTGAAATACCAAGTTTTAGGCATTGTTCAAATAAGTACAAGCTAGAAAAGGGAAGGAATAAATAAAGAGAGAGAAAATTGTTTTGTGTTATGCGTCTAAAGATTTCTTATGCATCTCACAACATGCAAGAGTAGCCTATGTCGTGTATGAAAGTCTGTGTGCGTGCAATTACAAATGCTTAATCATTTGTAATTGTGTAGGCCTATGCACTGTGATTGATTGTAGCTGAAATTTTTAAGAACTTGGTAAGAAAGAATAATCAAATACAAGTTCAAAATTTGCAGTTTCTGGATTTTTTTTTTTATTTCTAGAAAATATTCACATCTTACTTTAAATGTAGCCTATATGTAATGTAAAGGTACTGTAATGTCACTGTAAACTTATATAATTTAGGAGATGTACGTAAAAAATAACTATTTGGACATTAGGCCTACATATATCTTCAAATTATATCCATTACATTAAATGTTTAACTTTTTTTTTTTTTGTATTTTGGCCCAGTTCACTGTCATGTAGCTGTAAAAATAGTTGCCTGCTGACATTGAAATATACTGTATATACATCTTCAAGACTAGATAGACACAAGTGAGTTTCTCTTTATTATGCACGTTAGGTTTCTATCAGGTAGGTGTAAATGTGAGTCGGCCTGTCTGGTTTCGTTCGTTAAAGTTAACTTTTTCAAAAAACAATCGCTGTCACCTTACATGTTCAGGTAAAATCGAATTTTCTCCGGTCATTGTTAAAAAACAAGCTAACAAAACTTCATAGCTAGCATTAGTGAAGCGGTCAGAATATTTCTGCCTCCAGCTAGGCTCTGCCCGCAGAAAAAAATGTCACATTGTTTACTAACTGAAAGGGGTCTATAGTACTTTCGGTGCCCTGTAGATGGCGATATCACTTCTTTTGTAGCAAAAAAACAAAAAAAAGGTGCCATGCAAAATGTAATGTAATTGCAACATTCATTACAAATGTAGTGGAGTAAAGAGTACAGATACGTATTCAAAAATGTAGTGAAGTAGAGAGTAAAAGTTGCTAATATCTTTGATAAACCTACAGTGTCTAAATACTCACGTACAGTAAGGAATTACATTTACTCAAATACTTTACACCTCTGAAGTAAAATAATGGATTGCTGATGCTTGTTCTAAATTGTGGCAGCTGATGCAAACACAATTTAAATGACATGTTTAGCTTTAATACCCATTAGACCTAGTAAAAGTAATATTAGGAAAAAAGCCTGTCCAAAGCCAGTCTCAACTTTTTTGGCAAATGTGATGCGTGATGGATTTGCAAGTTTATGTATGTCTGTGAAACTGTGCTGAGGTTTTTATATTGCGAAGAAACATTCAGCGTACTTTGTAATGAACAATAGCACGCACAATTTCAATAGTTTAACTGATGATTCAGAAATGGTTTGGGCAAACTCTAGATTATTTAATCCTATACAGGCTTTCTACAAAGTGAGATTTAAGTAAAAAAAAACAAAAATTGAAAAGGAAATTTGGTTAATAAGCATATTTTTCCACAGCAATGACAGCATATACAGTACATATAGCATGCATTAATGGCAAAATAAAACAAAAAGAAAATAATGTTTCACTCTCCTTATCTGATCTTTTTTGTTAACCAGCAGACATTAAATGAATATTCTGAATTATACAATTTAAGCAGCATGTGTCAATTACTATTACTCATTGTACAGTACAACAATGAATCTCTACAAAATTGGATCAGCAAATTTGCCTAAATCATCTCATCGAGGTGGAGCTACTCTTCTAGGCAGATGAAGTTATGGTGATCAACTGCATACCACATATGTTTGTAGAATCATAAAGGCTTTATTTGTGCTTAATTTTAATTAAATATTACTTTACTAATAAGCTTAGAAACAATATATACCTACTATATTGCAAACTATTCCACAAAGCTCAATCTGATGTTCGATTAAGTTTAGATGGAATTAACTTTTGACAATAATAAAATCAAAATGATGTCAATACAAGTATTTTGCAGAAATCACACATTTTATTAGATGTTTTACATATTTAGAAATCTATCAAGTCATCTTGTAATATCCTTATTCTATAATGTTGTACTGTAACTTGTTATATTACCATAATGAACTGGAGTTAGAAGAATCAAAATTGTATCTGACAATCTGCCTGTTTTAATAGTACATTGTGGCATCACCATGTTTTCAGATATTTATCGTTTTTAGCAAGTAATTGTGTGTAGTGAATTATGGGTAGAAATTTATTTTACAGTCCTGTTTCTCATGTACATGCTTTGTACTTATTATAGTAATTACAATAACTACTGTAGGTACTAACCCTGAACCTACCTCTAAACCTAATCCTACCCCATGTAGTTACCTAATATTACCAAAACGTTCTTATGTAGGTACACTGTAAGTACATGTAAGTACACATACTTTAAAATAAAGTGCAACCGAATTATGTGTACAGAACACTGAATTTATTCTATTTGACCATCACCCATGAGATCTCCAGTCAAGGTTTGTCTGTCAAGACAGAGATTCATATAACAAATGGTCAGAAAGGTTTTGGATCTGTATGAGAGATGAATAAGAATGAAAAGTCATGCATTATTCATAAAATATAAAAATGAGAATGCAACCTGTTCGATTTTCCTCAAGGAGTACCACAAATTACAGTGAGAAGCAGACACATTTGAAAATGTACACGATTAAGTTACCACCAAAAAACAAACAAAAAAAAAACACACAAAATTCATTGAAAAGCAAGGAAAAACTTATCTGGCGTTGCTAGCCAATTACGTTTTTTACAGAATGAGCATATCTGGTATAGTGAAGTGTGAGTTGTTACATTATTTATTCATATATTCAGATGTATAATAACTGTATGACAATTCATGGGCAATAATGATAATAAAAATAAAATAAAAATCTCTAAACCTTTTCCCCTCTCAAAATGTTGGATTATCCAAGAAAATAGCACAATATGTCCTATGTGTTCTAACAAACTATTAATACTCCAAAGTGTAAAGCAGAAATAGCACTTCACATAATGTACATCACTGAAAACCATTAGCAAGCTCATATATCTGTCATTTTAAGAAATAAGTAAATCTTGGATCTGTCATAAAAAATTTAATGACAAATTCAATAAAAAAAAAACCTTGATTAATTATTTTCTGATATACAGTACCCCTGTACCCAAACACCACATATTACTAACAAATGGCTCCATATATTTTGTTATACAAAAATGTAACCCTTTAAAAAAGATTAAAGTACTAAGTAAGAACATGCCTTTCACATAAATGAGTATAGTGTGTAAACAGCATACTCAGTACATGTAAATGTGCTCACATACAAACACACCACATCCTGATCTGAAATGACTATCCAACCTTCTATATTCTATAAGTCCAACAGTAAATGTAAACAAGACTCTGGTACAGTAGAGCAAACTATGAAGATCATGGTTGAGTTAGGCCAGACACTTGTTGAAGCTCAGTTGACAGGAAAGGCTGTGCTCTGGAGCCCTTATTAACTGAAAAAGAAGAAGAAATAACATATTACCTCATCACAAATATTATTTCTTACTTTTTTATACACTGACCAAGTTTTAACTTGTAACTTTTTAAGGGATGGGTTTGCATCAAAACAAAAATATCCACTATGTGTCACTTTAACTCTCAAAAATAAAGGTTTTTATCTATGGAACCTTTCCATTACACAAAAGGTTCTAAATATTGGAAAAAGGTTCTTTAGATTAGGGTTAGTTCACCTAATAATTAAAATTAACTCATCATTTACTCACCCTATTGTTTTTTTTAATGCTGTATCCACCTGATATTTCCTGTAAGAGTGGTCGCGACCATTTGGAAATTTTGTCATGTCCAGCTTTTTTTAGCTGTACAAAACAGCTCGTTTTGCTGCTTGATATTGCAAACTAATGTGTCTTACCATATTACTTTAATGTATTATCACACTGGTTTGTAGTGCACACAGTTTTACCATTTACTGCACTATTCTTCTCATTATTTCCCTACAGCAGCTAATAAACCAGAAGTCTTCTGCATTCAAAAATAAAGTTGATACTTCTTTTTCAGATCACTTTTTTTTTTTCAGGTCCCATGTGACACATCGTATGTTCCAAGGGACATACAATAGGGTTTGGTGAAAAATAAACTTTGATTTACTTTATTTAACGTCCATAGTTTTTATCTATGGATCCTTTCCATTACACAAAAGGTTCTAAATATTGGAAAAAGGTTCTTTAGATTAGGGTTAGTTCACCTAATAATTAAAATTAACTCATCATTTACTCACCCTATTGTTTTTTTTAATGCTGTATCCACCTGATATTTCCTGTAAGAGTGGTCGCGACCATTTGGAAATTTTGTCATGTCCAGCTTTTTTTAGCTGTACAAAACAGCTCGTTTTGCTGCTTGATATTGCAAACTAATGTGTCTTACCATATTACTTTAATGTATTATCACACTGGTTTGTAGTGCACACAGTTTTACCATTTACTGCACTATTCTTCTCATTATTTCCCTACAGCAGCTAATAAACCAGAAGTCTTCTGCATTAAAAAATTAAAAAGTTGATACTTCTTTTTCAGATCACTTTTTTTTTTTCAGGTCCCATGTGACACATCGTATGTTCCAAGGGACATACAATAGGGTTTGGTGAAAAATAAACTTTGATTTACTTTATTTAACGAAAATCTACTGCAGTTTACTCGCTAAGAAAAGCGCACTAAGAAAAGTTGTGAGAAATCAAGATGTATCTGTATAAAAATGTGACAAAATATAATCCATGTATTTTTTTCTCTGAGGTGATATTATCTGTTGTATTTGCCGCAACAAGAAGTTGACGTGTTCAACTGTCAACTGTCATTCTGACTTATGTGACAACCGGATTTCCGGTCCGGAGATATTCAACTCAGTACATACAGCATTTAACTAACACTTTTTTGTGTTTTTATTCATCTTGATTTATCAAGTATCATGAATGTGCAGTCAAGTACAGAAGACCGACAGTTGTGATACTACGATATTTTTGCAACATTTTTTAAAAAGCTTGATGTTGGTCGCTCTCCACTGCCATTGTATAGACGAGCACGAACAAGATTTTTTTTTAAAATTCTCGTTTCGTGGTCTGAAAAAAAAATAGAACCCTTTAAGAAGTGTTCACTAAAAGGTTCTTTTGGGAACTCAAAATGGTTTTCACTGTGAAAACCTCCTTTAGGAATTTTTATTTTTAACAGTATAGCACCCTTTTGCTGTAACAAAGAATACAACACTTACTTGTTTTTCTTTAAAAGCTAGTCCAGAACCAGGTCAACATTAATCAGCATTAACTAGCCTGGACAAACAGGTCTCTTTAACAGAGATGTTTGGGATCATGCACACACATAAACACAGACCTCACTTGGTGGGCACAGTTGGTGAGCCAGAGCGATGGAAGTGGATGTTCTGCCATTTGCCGTCACGACGATGCCAGACACGGGTTTCTTCAGACTGCATAGTGTGAGGCATATTGTTGACATCCATGTATTGGGTGAGCCGTATATAAGCGATGCATGCAGCATCCTCACCAATTAGGTGTACATGAGGGTTCAGCAAGATGGTGTGGATGGGTTTGTGACCTTTGGAGAGCGCTAGAGCAGAGGGACAATAATGCTTATGGTTTTGTGTCATTCAAGGCACTTTCACCTTTATCAAAGACATTAAAGTTATTAAAACAATATGCATGCAAGTGGATACAATTAATTAGATTAAAGGACACATTCAATTTAGTCAAAAAGCGTGTAAAATTCAGTAGATTTTATAAACACATCTTCATATTATTTTTTCTGTGGAACTCAAGTTTTTTTTTAAATAATATCCTTCTAAACCTTTAGAAATATACCATAAAAGAGGGGACAGCCAAGCATCAAAATGACAATAAATAAAAAAAATAAAAATGTCATGAACGAATCCACACAGCTAATGAGTTTAATATAGTATATGATAGCTTTTTTTTGTGAGGAACCATCCAAAAATTAGTTTTCACTGTTAATCTTCTCTTCCAATGTAGCTCTCACATCAAACTTGTCACATGAAGATACATTGTGTGAGGTTTGACATGAATAAAACGGAACATTGTTTGTTCTCACATGTTGTGGCCGATGCTATAACTGATGTACCACCTGAGCATCAAGTTGTAAATCAAACAAAAATACTTCTTAAAAACATACTGTAATATTCTCTATTTCAAAATGTCTAATTTACTGTAATTCACTGTTTCTTTTTAATTACTTTAAAAATAAATTTACTAACAAATGTTGTTTCAAAGTAAATCCTACAAAAAAAAAATTGCTCTCTTGAACTTCAACTTGCTCTAATCCTAACATTAAGCTATAGCATGGCTTCAGAAGATTTGGAATATATACATATATTTTTTCTTGATAGCCCACTCACTTTCTTAGTATAAAAACATCAATTATTCCTTTAACATGTAACATCATGTCTTACAGTTTTCAAAGTAGAACCTGTGGAAATCTGTCCCCTCCACTAGGTTTCCCAAAGCTTCAGGTTCAAAAGATGTCAGTCCAGGGTCACACATTTTCCTGTGGAATCCAATATAATATAAAAAAACGAAAATACATAATAAATCATTCTTTAACAGAGTGAAGGCAAAACATGAAATAAAAACACTCACGTGTAAGCTTCAAAATCTCCATTATTAATGGCTTCGATCAGCAGCTCTGTGACTTTAATTATCTCCTGTTTCCGTGCTAAAGCACATAAAGGCAAAGAAGGGGGGAAAAAACTGTGAAAAAGTGTGCAAATGACTGTAGTCATCATCCTTTAGCTGAGGAACAGACCAGACTGTGAAATACATACATTTTAAACAATAATACAGTGCAAACAGTGATGTTTGATTATCCAGTGAATGGGTCTTATGAGTCGGTTCTTTAAATTGAATCAAACAGTCTGAAAGGAACTGGCCAGCTACCAATGTAAATCAAATGTTAACCCCTTACTCCCTAAAGTTTGACTATGTGGAGAACTGTCCTGTTTTATGTATACCTTTAGAAAGCAATTTATTAATTCAACCTTTTTCAAGCCAAGAAAATCTTCATGAACAGAAAGATTACAGAAAGGCACCCCAGGGACCTCCTATTCTATAAAACTGGGTGTTGCATTTTTAGCCTGGCCAGTAAGAATGTGTTAAGTACCATGTTAATTTATTTACTTTTTAATGATTCTTGCATTTTAAAGCTGATAAAATAATCATTTTTAATAATTACAATTTTTCAACATTTCTGCTTGTTTAGAATATGAACTAGTAAGCCTGAACTGCAATGCCTTCATTCTTTTGAGTCAGTTCTAGTGCTGTCAAAATGAAAAAATTTTAATGCAGGAGATAATTTTTTTTCAGTTTAACACATTAAAAATATTTAACACAATTAATGCAGGGGTGGACCTAGGGTTGGCCACCTCACTCACATCTGCTGCTTCTGTCTCTTTTTTTCTTGATAAGAATTGCATTTATTTAGATGCAGAACGTCTTTATGACCACATTAATTTTCCAAAAAGGCGATTAAAGCTGCCTTAAAACTGCGCATGCATGTTATTTATGAATCACATTTAAGAACATGTCTCTGAAATGTAGTGGTTTTCAAAACTGTCCTGGAGCAGCCCAGCACTCTCCCTCATCTAACACACCCGATTCAACTCGTCAGCTCATTAGTAGAGACTTTAAGCCTTGAAGTGGGTCATAAAAGTAAAGAGTTGAGAGAAAATATGATGCAGATCTGCGTTGTGTTCAGCAGGGGCAGCTCTTAAAAATAACCTATTAAAAATAACCTATTAACCCAGCAGCTGGGATGTCTGTTAATCAAAGAAGAAAGGAAAAAAGTGGAAATCAATAACTTTTGTAGCTTCAAAATGTATCTATATTTAATTTAGAATATAGTGTTTGATAACTTCAATTTCTGTATATTTATTATAATGGGTTTATGTGTAGATTGTTTTAAGTTCACTTAAATTCTAAGTTATTTTTTAAAGTCTAATAAATGTTAAAATTGATAGCTCTCAATTTTACTGTTGAATGGCTATAGTCAATGGTTAAATATTAGGGGGGGAAAGCAATTTCATTGAGACATCAGTAGTATTGCGATCAGTGATACTTGCCTTCAGTCATAAAAAAAGATGCCATTAAACAAATATTAAAAACATATATATTTATAAAAACCATAATAATGTATATTGAAATGTAGTTTAAATGTATTTAAAACACAAATAATGAAGTTTATTAGTGCCTATGGAGGGATTTTATTTTCTTGTTCTTCAGAGTATTTGGGGAATTGTGTTTTTCAGCATCTCCATGTAATGGGGATCAGAAAGAAATATCCTGGACAGTGCACAATGAATTGTTAAATAATGCACTTGTATTTTTTTGTTGTTTGGCTAATTTCTTAATCTAATTATATAGATTTGTAATCTGAAAGTCTCATAGAACAAATATAGCCCCTTAAAGTAGCTTCAAAATAGTACTGCTTTAACTTGTAATGTAGGCAAATTAAAAAAGTATGTTGGTACTGCATACTGTATTTAGTTTCTTGAGACAATCTACATAGTGTCAGAAGTGGTTAAATAAGACACAAGATCTCCCCTGCATTAATCTACTAATTTCTGATGAAAATATAGCTGACAACTGGAGCAAATTTGAAAAAGAATGGCACATATATTGTAATTCTGGTCTATCAGACAAAAGGAAGAGGGTGCTCCATCACACAGACCAGCATATCAAGCTCTAGTTCATGATTACCCTACCAAGTGAACTGCAGAAGTGCAGTGCAATTCAAAAACTCAAAATTCAGCTGGGTGAATGAACTGGACACATCTCTAGATCCACCTGATTACACCTACTATTGTGGAACAGTGGATTATGTCACTCAGAAAAGTGAAACAACACTGCGACTAAAGCATGGGTCTGGCCAACAAAAAAAAAAGAAGGTTGACACAGGAGCTAAATGCAACATTACTGTATATCTCACCAACAACTAAACCTCATTCTACCCTCAGCTCATATAAACACTAATGAAAAAGTAAACCGGGGGTACAGTCAGTGGCGCCCCCTGGATGTGTGGCCAAAAAATTACTCATTGCAATGAGGGAATAAATTATGGCTGAGCTTGAGATAATGACTGTGGTTCTGTAAGGATATGTATAGACTCAAAAAGAAACTTGGGAACATCATCCCCTGAAAACCGGTCAATGTTGACATGACGTGTGCCAAGGTCTTCAGTATCCATGACTCAAAATGCAGATTTTGGCAAATCCCTTTAGATGATGTATTATTTAAGATGACAAGCTAAAGGATATTGTGTCTAGTCCTCCAGTTCTTTGACACCATTGCTCTCTCCGCTGATGCATCCCAACATGGACCAAGACACTATTACGGATAATGCACGGCAGTTTGTAATTATTATTTTTTTAGATTTTGTACATACATACACTTTGAGCACATTTGGAGAAGCCCTCTCTGCTACTCTCTAATGACCTTGCAGAATATGCAGTGCAATCTGCCAAACATCTGCTGGAGAAGTACTATAGGGAGTGAAGTGACATAAAAGCTGCTTTACTTCATATGTATAATCTTTCTTCCACAGGATGACCTGCCATCCTCTGCCCAACTCCTCCTCTCCAGGTGAATGAGCTGAGCTCAAGGCAGGCTGACACTTTTTGTATGCCTCAATGTCAAGGCAGTACTGGCCAGGAGGATAAAGAAAAGCAAAGAATATTATGGCGAAGCGATTAGTCAACAGAAGAGACGGATGTCAGCACATGAGTGTTTTGCATAATACTTGGTTATAGATCTGTTGTTTAAATTATTACTTGCTGCTAGGAAGGAATAATTCGTTTTCTACTATGTATTTTCGTTGGAGTTTGTATTTTTGATTGCACTTACTGGTAATTATAATAATTGCCCTCGGCTAAGAAGGAGCCTGTGTTATTTGCATTGCACCCTTCCTTCACTGAAGTGCGAACTGTAGTTTCGATTTGAGCAACTGCCCTGCTATAGGCTATTGGCTGTGCTAATTAGAAGGCACTCACAGCTGTTTTCACTTTAGTGTCTTAGACTGTGTATTTATTTGATGTCTGTGCATTGATGCGGAAGCATCATCGGAAGTGTTCAACCCTTGTTTTCAGCCTCCTTGTGTGAAGACCAACAAGTGTAAAGACCTGCAACTTTACCTGCGTGACTTCACCGAGCAAAAAACTTAAGTATAATATTTATCTTCCCTTTACACACTCTCCTTTTCTGTCTTCTCTTTTCCACCTCCATCATGTGTTTCCAAAACATTCCGGTTGTCTCTCGACAACGCTCTAACGTCACACGCAGACGGCAACGCAATCTTGCTAACCTGCGTCCTATCTGTACATCTACTGTACCTCTTTCTTTCTCTGTGGGTCTCTGGAAATGTCAGTCAGCTGTCAACAAAGCAGACTTCATTTATGCTTTTTCTTTACAATCCACACTCAGCATCTTGGACTTGACCGAGACCTGGATTCGTCCAGAAGACTCAGCAACCCCAGCTGCTCTGTCTAACCATTTATCTTTCTCTCACACCCCCCGTTAGGTTGGCCAGGGTGGGGGCACTGGTCTGCTCATTTCTAACAATTGGAAATACTCAACCCACTCTCCCCTATGCAATTATAACTCATTTGAATCTCATGCGATTACTGTAACAGCTCCTATAAAACTCCAGCTTGTGGGTAATTTACCCCCCTCCTGGGCAAATTCTAGCCACCTTCCTAGAGGAGCTGGATGGGCTGCTTTCCTCATTTCCCTAGGATGGCAGTCCACTTTTAGTCTTTGGCGACTTCAACATTCATTTGGACAAGCCTTATGCTACAGTCTTTTATTCACTCATTGCTTCATTTGATCTCAAACGACTTACCACTACAAGCACGCACAAATCAGCTTGACTTCATTTACACACGCAATTGTACTGCAGACAACATTTTGGTAAAACCCCTTCATATCTCTGACCATTTCTTCATTACATTTAAACTACATTTTGCAACCTGTGTGCCACCAACCCCTATACCAGTTACTTTTAGACGAAACCTACCCTCCCTTTCCCCCTCCTATCTTTCCTCTATAGTATCCTCTCTTCCCGCACATACCCATTTCTCATCTCTGGATGTGAATGCAGCAACTAACACTTTATGCTCTACTTTAACCTCTTGTCTAGACAATATTTGTCCTCTCTCCTCAAGGCCAGCATGGGCTGCCCCTTCTAACCCCTGGTTATCCAATGTTCTTCGTGAGCATCAGACCAAACTCAGGGCAGCAGAGAGAAAATGGTGCAAATCAAAAGATCCGTCAGACCTGAGTATGCATCAGTTTTTGCTTTCATCTTTCTCTGCTTAAGTCCATACTGCCAAATCTTCCTACTTCCACAATACGATCAACAGCGCTCCAGACACATGTAATCTCTTCAAAACATTCAATTCTCTCCTCTGTCCCCCTCCACCACCTCCCACCACTTCTATAACAGCTGATGATTTCGCCACACTCTTCACGGACAAAACTAGAACAATCCGTAATCAATTCTCAGCCCCACACACACAGGACTTCAAACCAATCACACCCACTGCTAAAACTCCCATCTTCTCCTTCTGTCCCCTCACGGAGGCAGAAGTATCAAAACTTCTCCTCTCCAGTCATCCTACAACATGCCCTCTGGACCCAATCCCCTCACACCTTCTCCAAGCAATC